ATGGGGGTGAGTAGAAAATGAAGGCTAATCATGTTTTGGGTGTACTATTCCTTTAAGTCTGTTGTTTGTATGCAGGATGGGACCACGTCTTCTGCAGCGGAGCTATAAAATATATTACTGTTTGATCTCACAGGGCTTCTCTGGTAACAAGCTGACCTCCCTGTCTCTGGGCCAAGGACAGGGGCCCATAGCCATGAAAATGATCCAGACAGGCATTAATGATGGCACCTGGGTGGTTCTGCAAAACTGCCACTTAGCTACTTCATGGATGTCAACACTAGAGAGCGTTTGTGAGGTAAAAAACACATATCCCCTCATTCTATTAAACCTGCTCTTTATGCATTCATTGATTCAGTAGATTCATGTTTTGTGACTGTGCTCAGGGACTGGGACCAGACACCACCCACCCAGACTTCAGACTGTGGCTGACCAGCTACCCCTCCTCCACCTTTCCTGTGACTGTTCTCCAGAACGGAGTTAAGATGACCAACGAGGCTCCGAAGGGCCTCCGCTCCAACATCGCCCGCTCCTTTTTGATGGACCCCATCTCCGATCCAGAGTTCTTCAACAGCTCCAAAAAGCCGGTCGGTTTGTGGGCACGGTTTCTTCCACCCTCAGCGTGCTGTTTCTCTTAGAAGAAGCCTCATGTTGGTGTTTGTCCCACGTTCAGGCTGTGTTCAAGAAACTGCTGTACGGCTTGTGTTTCTTCCACGCCCTGACCCAGGAAAGAAGGAAGTTTGGACCTTTAGGATGGAACATCCCTTATGAATTCAATGAGACGGACCTGAGGATCTCTGTGCAGCAGCTGCACATGTTCCTGGAACAGTATCAGGTAGCTACAGTTATGCTACATTCAGACCGCACACAGCAGAAGCAGCAAAAATGCTTCATTTTTGATGCTTGCACAAGTTTAGTTGTGCCGCACGGCTGAAGCATCTTTGCTGCTCCAGCTGCTCAGGCTAAAAGTGGGTCCGATGTGTTTGGGGCGGAGCTACCCTATCCTCTCTTTGCCTGTAACAATGGCAGCTATGTTTGCTTTGATCAGTGGGTGAGAAGTAGTTTTAATATGTTTTTAAGTGAGATGGGTTGACCTGAATACTTCATCTGTTCCAGTCACTTTGCTGAGATTACCATCCTGCCTTCAAATGTTATTTCGCTGTCGGAGCCGCTCAGACCCCCGTGATCTGTCACTAGGAACTACAGTAGGGGTGTAAATTACATCCATCATTGCGATTCGATTCAGTATCGATTTCCTGACCCAACGATTCGATTATTTTCGACACTCAAGAATACACCACGATACGATTCCATTAATTGGTTAATTTTTAATTTTTTTTTTTACACCTTACAGGCTAAACAAAGTTTCAAGTTTGAAATAAATCAATGAAAGCTGTAATATCATTATGCATTTTTTTTTTTTAGAAACAACAGCAAATAACAGAAGTAGAAAAGTTGCATCAAAAAAGAATGCACATAATCAGTGCAATGAGTTCAATGTAATACCTCGGCTCCAGATGCCCCGCCCCCTCCACAGACGCTCCGCTG